GGGAAAAAAAACCCCACCACACTTCTATTTTCTATTTAGAGTGCAATAGCAATCAAAAATGGAAGAAATATGTCCTAGCACAGAAGAGAGCAGCGCTGTTCTACGACCATGGATGAAAATAGGGTTTGTGTTTACTGTGCTTGTACAATGCTTGGATTCAAATTCTGCTAAAATAACTTAGCATGCTGCAATGGCACACACTGTACACACTGCTGCTGAATTAACAGAACCGGAATGCCTGATAATAAAACATGCCAATTTGCCTAAAATCAGTTATGAAGAAAAGCAAAATAAAGTTAACTAAAGTAATAAATTATGATGTTGTCTTTTTGAAGCAGAGAAGATCACTGTAGTGATTCTCCATCTGCTGAAGAGGTGCCCAGGTTCTTCCCCGCAGTTTGGAGATGCTGTAGGAATTGTGCTGTTATTATCAGTGGCAGGCTTCTCCTGGATAGCATCCTTATTTCAGAAAAGAGATGAAATGTATCAGCAAGTAAATGGTAGAGTGCTACACATGACACTCACTGTCATTCTTAATGTTTCATTTGGAACCACTGTAAAGAGAAATGTTATCAGCTCCCCATAGGCTGGAAAGGGTCATCCATGGGTCTTCTGAGAATCAACCATGCTACCAAGAACAAGACTGAAACCCTTTTTACTTCTTTCATTAGTTGACGTTGTATCCCCTCTGTCTTGGCCACTACATACAGACTGGGAAAATGACTCAAGAAGATCACAGACATCATGTAAAAAACAAGTGCTGGCCCCCCCCACTGTCTTCTGCATTTTGAAGTCACAGCATTTTACATCCTTGCTGCACAGTTCACTGAGTGCAAGGCAGCAGAGAATCAAACTCAGCTCCTGTTAAAAGAATGTGAAATCAAAGTCTGGAAAGTCCAATAAAACCAAAGGTGTGTTAGTACCTCCTACTATGTGGGGATTTTCATGCATCTCTGGAGGCAGTGCTTTTTATTCCTTGCTTGTCTTTCAGGATATGATGTAACAAGATGATCTGAGACAAACTAAGAGCTTGTGGCCACAGACACAAGAAGAACCATTCCCCTCACCATCTCCCCCACCGTCTCCCCTCCTGCTGCCTATGTGCCCTGCTCTCTTAAAAGCTCGACCTGATTCTCACAGGCTAGATAGCACGGTGAGCTGACCTAACTCACTAGAAAAGCATAAAACATAATTCAGAAATATCACAGTAATGTTTTCTGTGGGGCTTGGAGTTGCATCAGTTTACTTTGCAATCCCATGTCTGACAGTGATGGTACGAAGTAGTGAGAAGAAAGGACTGCACAGCCAGAAGCGGGGGGCTGAAGGAGCAGTGAAGGAGGAAAGGAAAGTGAGACCAGGAGGAAAGAGTGAGGCAGGAGGGTGAAGGAATGAGACCTCCCTTTCCAAAACAGAAAACTGTTCAGTTGCAGCATGGAACAGCACCCTCGCCTGCATTTGAAAACTATGCTCTCAGTTCCATATTTATGTGCCTTGTTAAGGTCTGCATCTCCATCCCGGAGTATTTTCGCTTCTTCAGAATGATTATTTTTGAGCATTGAAGTAGTACTTAGAAACAACCACCATGTCAAAAAAAAACACCCGAAAAGATAAGCCATCTCGGATCCCCCTGGCTGATAGTACACGATTTTCTGCTCTGAACTGTTCAGATTCTCAACTGACAAGATCATCAGCTGATGAAGGAAGCAGTGTGGTAAACTATTCTGGTTTTATTAAT